ACCCAAACTCTTCCAACATGCAGGGCTCCCCCATCATGGCCATATTCTATGACACTCTTTAGGTCTTCAAATCCATTCCAAACGATTTGAACAACAGATCCCTCACTGGATGCTTGACCGCTATTAGAATTAGAAGGGTTTTTGTCTTCTGTACTAGTCAAATTATTTTGCTTTTCAAGGGGTAGATTTTGTTTTGCTTCTTGATGACGCTGTCTTGGGGAAACCAGCTCATTAATTTTCCCGTAAGATACTACAGGATTTGGATCCAAATCAATATATTCTAAATTCCATGGAAAAACGTGAACAGCATTGCTTTTCAGAAATTCATGAGTGGTGGATACATTCTGCACGCTGGGAGGCTGGGACTGACACACTCTAAAAATGGAATCCATGTGAACTGAGTTCAGCAGCTTGTCTTTGAAGATGCTCATTTCACAGTTATCACATGAAGTCTTTTGTTTCTGTTCAGATGCATTGGAGAAAATGTTCCCAATGAAATTCCATATATTTGGGAGAACATTTGAGCCAAACGTCACGTTTGCATCAGTCTTACTCTGTTCAAGGACTCCAGGCTTTAAGTAAGGTTGTTTGGCAAAAGGATCTTTCAATGTTTCTTCTTGTTCCATGTTATTTTTCACAAAATTTTGGAGCAAGATGTCACTTTCTGTGGCAAGTGTGCTGGTGATACTCTCCTCAGGACCGTGTGTTTTGGGGCACACCAGAAGCTCCGTGCATGGCTCTAATCTCCCATATGGGGCTGCTGGCACAAGTGTACCTAAGTATGAGCAAAAGATGCCAATGAATGCACCTACCCCTGCAACACAGCTCACTGGAGGTGCCCCGAGAGCCTTGAGCTCACGCTGCTTACCGATTCTGATGTAAACATGGGTGTGCTGCTCAACCCAGACAGGAAAGATGGCTCCTGGAAACACCACTCGAATCTGGTCAAGAAGATGTCTTTCCAGGGAGGAAGCATGCAGTTCCTGGGGAAATGTGATACCATTATAAATTAAATATTGCATACCGTTTTAACATTTGTTTGAAGGAAAAAAGTATGTCTCTTTCTAATACATGATTTGAAATATAAAATACAACTAAACTCCATCACATTTAATATTTCCTTAGAGGCTGAAAGGAATGGGGCACTGTGCAAAAAAACTGCTTGAACCAGAATCTCTGTCATCTGTAAGACAAGAACATGAACAATGAAGGGGTTTTATTACCAGAATTTCCCAATCATCTGCTGTGAGTGGTTCCACTTCTACTTGCTGACAGGAGGAGACATGGGAACAAGGTTCAAGAAACACCTGGCAAAAGTAACACCAAAATATTTAACTCCTTATTTTTTATATAAAAGCTCCATCTTTATTTCAACTAGAAAATTGACATCACCTTCATTGTATGTTTTCACAACTTGGAACACAAACCATCCTAATGACACTAGGTAATTCATAAGCAGACGAATGCTCAATGGATGGGAAATGGATCCCATTAGGCTCAGGGATGTCAATAAGCAGTGAATATTAAAAGAATTAGAAGCTTATCAGGTGGTAACAAATAATCCATTTTTAATACACCTTGATCACATCACCATCTTTCCATTTTCAAATCTTTATTTTTAAGTCCCCAGGATTTTAGAAAGCTGAAAAATTGATTCAATGGTGCATAAATTTAGAACCAGCTGAAAAATAAGGAAAAAAGTACAATAGAAAAGCAAGCCCAGCTCCTTAATGAATGGTTTCATAGGAAGCAGCCCCACCTCCACAGAACAGTTTTAATATCATGTGAATCAGGAGGAATGGTAAAAGATGTTGTGGTTTAGGTCTTTCAGAATACATTAAATACAGACTTCAAAAGTCAATTTTTGGCAAAGGTTTCATTTGACAAAAAACAAACCAAAACCACAAACAATTTGCAAACAACATCTTGCAATTAATTTTCAAAGAAACGTCACTAATTTTTTTCCTGAGATAAAACTAGTTACCTGTCCTCTGAGAGAACTACGTTAGGTCACCTTTTACAAAAGTAACAATCAGTTTTGAAATTCTCTATGTCCTTAGTTTCAAGCAATAATTGAGAGGAATATCTTTTCCCCAGCACAGCAAAAAGAAGATCATACAGCAAACATGTAACTCCTGAATCCAAAACAATGGTGAAATGAATTAATAATGCATTTATTTGATTGTACAGATGGTTATCCCCAGCAACTCCTGAGTGAGGTTTTCTTAGGTTTCCTTTGTCAATTGTTTTCCTGTTGAAGGCTATTAGTTTCTATAAGTAAAAAAGGTACATGCCTGGCTGCTCAACTACTAAATTGGAAATTTCTGCAAACAGACACATAATTTCTAGAGGAAAATATGTTTAAAAAGTAAACATAATACACTGCTCTGAGTCATACTCTTTGATGTCTTCTATGATGTTGAACAAAATTCTGTATATAAGAGAATAGGCAAATATGAATATACTACACAATGACACTGTGTAAAGCAGTACTTTTTTATTCTTGTTTGGTTAAATGTCTACCTAGTAATAGAAAACAAATCCTTTGATTTTGAGATTTTAGTAGTCCCATGTCAGAAAACTCTGTCTGACTCTTGGGTATCTCTAACTTCTGCTCAATGAAACAGTCATTTATGAGAAGTTTAACAGAGGGTTCAAGAGTAAGAGGTAAATGCACAAAGAGTAGATAGATAGACAAACAGATATCCATAAGAGGTGAATATAAATATTCAAAGAGAAAGGGATATATGGTGAAGGGGTGAAAAAGGGATGAAAATTTAAACCCCAAGTAAGTTAAACAAGAATATGCAGAAAGTCAATAGCTACTTTGAAACAACAGGAACTCCTAACCAAATATTCCCATTCCAAATTTTTCAATTGCTTAAAAGTGTATTTTCTTAAAATCAATGTCATTGACGAGCTGTTAAAGGTGGCATTTCAAACCTGTTCTCCATCTGTGATGCCAAGTTTCTCTGCCAAATGTCTGTTAATCTCTGCAATATTTTCACTCTGATAACCTCGATGCCTGGTTTCCATCCAGCTCAAAAATACTGGCTGATGACCACAGGATACTTTCACAGCTTGGCCCTGTGAGTTTCAGAGAAAGAAAACAAATTGATACAAAACCAGCTAAGTGAGATGACTATTAGACAATCTAAACCGTATTTGATTAGAGAGATCAAAGGAATTAAAGATATTATCTGGATTTTACACCTTGTTTGCACAACTCCCAACACAGAAGTGAGTGCTGGTTTCATTTCTTAAACAGCTTTCCATTTTCAGGGACTATTTTAAAGTAAGAAAATTAATTATTTTTTCTTTCTTCTGCATGATGTCGTATCAAAAAATATTTTACAGAAATGTGTAACTGCATGTTTGTATTTCCCAAATAAGGAAAATAAATAAACGTACACTTTGATTTCACAAAAATTATAGCATTTACATGGTCTCCAAGAGTGCACCATATATTTAGAATAAGTTAAAAATCACATTAACTCAGACCAAAATGATTTTATCAATCTGTTTCAGAACTGCCCAGGTATTCTGATGTCAAACTGAAGAACTTATCTAGTATCTTCTGCAATTAGATTCACCTTTTGATTCCATTTATCCCCTTTTAAACATTTTTATTCATGAGATGTATTTAAGATGCTATTTCTATCCAGTATTCTGAGACTCAATCTTTGCATTTAGCAGCTCAGGTTGAACAAAAGCAGGAGTCCACCATAACGAACACAATGACATTACAAGACTTCAAAGCAAGTGCACTCCATTCTCCTCTCCCTTGACATCAGATCTGTAAAACACTCAGAAACTGCAGCTGAAATTTAACTCACATATAATACTACACTTCTTCCAATTTCACCAACTTCCTACTTCCACCCCAAAGGTGAACGAGCAGGTTTTTACACGCCTCTGTTGTTTTCCTGTTGTGAAATGCCCTTTTTGGCCTTGAGAACAGGAGGCTACCCGTGCCGAGGGAGGCCCGCTCGGCCCGGGGGGCTGTGCCAGCACTCCCGGGCTTTGCTCGCATCCTCCTCGGCGCATTCCTGCCATTTTCCACCCTGTTCTGCTGGCATTCAGCTCTGTGTTCATGGCACAAGAGGCACACAGCGGCTCTCCTCCCGTTTCCACGTGTGAAATGTTATTTACAGTGTACGGTGCACTCCACAGAGCTGACCCCGCGACTTCAGCAGGGCTCTGCATGACGGGATTGCCTTTCTGTAGTGACTCATTTTATTTGTGTGCACCAACAATGAGGATTCTGCGTGGATTTGTCACCTCTTCTCCCACCCCAATTAAACATTTGCACGTTATTCGCTTAATGCTAGCGGGTTACGGGGAAAACTGGTACGAAATAGGGAGTGATGATAGAGACGCAGATGCCCACTGTGCCAGACCACGCTGGGCGAGAAAAATTCCCGCGTTTTATTAGGAATTGATGACGATATTGGGCTACGCAGGAAGGGGGGGTTCCCCGATGTCTCCCCGTGAGGGGTCCCGGCGGCGGGGAGGGCTGAGTCGTGAGGGAGGGGAGGAGGCTCTGTATCGCCATGGTAACAGGATGCGGGGGTGCGCTCACGTAATCCTCCCTGCCCGCTGAGGTGCCCCTGCGCCCGGGCCCCGAGCGGCGCCGCCCCGGTACCTGCTGCAGGCGGAGGAGCGAGGCCAGCGCAGGCGGCAGGTGCAGGAAGCAGTCGCGGGTCCCGCTCAGGACGACGGTGGCGGCAGCGGCGGCTCCACCGGGGTCGCCACAGCCCCACATGGCCGCTGCCGGCCGGCCCTGCGCGCCCGCTGCGCCCGGGCACGGGCCCACCTACCCGCGGCGGCCGCGGGGGGTAATGCTCCCTTGCCACCCCCGGGGCAGTGGTACAACCCACGCACTGCCGGCCAATGCGAGCGCGGCATTTCGCTGCTGCCCATCTCTCATTGGCTCCTTCTCTACCGGCCGCGGCTCCTCCTCCCCGCCGCACGGAGGGAGCCAATAGGGGCTGCGCGCCGCGGGGCTGACGGGAAGATGGCGGCCGGCAGCAGCGGTGGCCCGGGCGCTCCGTGCCGGCACCACGCGCAGCTGGGAGCCTGCGAGTCGCGCGCCAAGTACCGCGAGGGGTGGCGGCCGCGCGCCGTGAAGGTGCTGGGCAGGGGCGGGACAGGGACGGGACAGGGGCGGTGTCGGGCCGAGCCGCTTCGGGTAACGGGGCTGGGGGCGGCCGGGCCTGCGCTGGAGTCCCGCGGCTCCCCGGGAGGGAGAGAGAGAGGCCTTGGGCCTCGCCTGCTGCGCGGCTGGAGCTTCTCGTTACTGCAGCAGAACTGCGAGATTTGGGTATCTCTGCGCTCAGTGTACAAAGAGCTGTAGCGGCACCTTAAAGGACTGGCGTGAGAAAGGAAGCGCTTAGTTTGGACCTTTAAGATCATGAAGTCCAACCCGCATCTGTTTCCAGCCTCTTGTCAGGGAGTTGTAGAGAGCGGTGAGGGCTCCCTGAACCGCCTTTTTTCCAAGCTGAGCCGCTGGCAGCTCGCTGAGCTGCTCCTCATCAGACCTGTGGTGAGACCCTTCACCCGCTCCGCTCCCCTTCCTTCCTCTGGACATGCTCCGGCAGCCCAGGGCCTTGGAGAGAGAGCCCTGAGCTGAACCCAGGATTTGAGGTGTGGTCTCGCCAGTGCCGGAACAATGGTTACTCCGTGCCCATGCTCATAAGGCACATCTCTTTCACTATCACCACTTTCCTGTAAAATTTCAAACTTTCCATACTTCATGAAGTCTCAAAGCTGTTAAGTTCTTTTATTCTTCCAAGTGTACACGATGGGGTAGAGGACAGAGAGCCTTGTGCATCCACAGAGCTCTGGCCAGCACAGGCATCCAGCCATCACTGGGCACTGGAGAATACACACAGGAGAAACAGTATGGATGTCCCAGGTGTGCAAAAAACCTTATTTGAATCTTTTCTTCCTGGCAAAGAAAGAGGTAGAAGGACAACACTTCCAAAAAAAAAGAAAAAAATTGCATAATGAAAGCATCAGGTTCCTTCAATCCCTTGTTCCCGAAATAATGTAGGTGGGAGTGTGCTGCTGCCACAAGAAAACTTATGTGACCTGACTGTGGAGACTTTTTTACAGCAGAAATTTGAGAGTTGATTTCCCAAGCAGTTCCCACTTTGTCCAGAATATGTTTTTTTAAGAAATATGTAACTTATGTAGTCTAAATGTTTGTGGTTTGGGTTGCTTTTTTTTAACAAACTCTGAATAAATTTCCTTTGATCTCAGGGATGAGCTTCCTAGCTGCCTACTGTACATAGTGAGCCATCGAAAAGCTTTGCTTAGAGGCTTTGCTTAGACTGTGACAGTCACTACACAAAGCAGAAGTTAATGATTGGTTTGGTTTTTGACTTGCTGGGAGAAGACCTTGTTTCTCTCAGCATCCAGATTTTATCTGTGTGTCTTAAAAATGTATGCTGTTGGATCACTGTGGGAAGTAGAGAGCTCTGCACACACAGGATTTGCCCCAGGGAATTGTGGTAATTGTTTTTTAACTCCCTGTGTGGAAAAAAGCAGTTCTCCTCACCTGCATGACTCTTTGCCAATGAAGAAGACTGATTTTTCAGTGTTTTTTTTCTGTATTTTGACACTACCTCCTATGAACTGATTACTAGTATGTCTTGCATGGAAGTTGGCCAGAGACATAAGAGATTTTACTCAACAGCTGGAAGTAGTCCTCTGACATTGTGCAGAAAAGTCAGGTCTCATTTGAGTTTTACTATGCATGACAGGCATGAGTTCAGCTCTTGCTCAGTGATGAAGAGGTCCCAAATAACCATGCACTTACTGTCCTGCAAAAGAGAGTACATAGTGGTTTTCAGCATCCTGAGAGGATTTGGAGAAAAACAGAAAACATGGAGAAAATGCGTGCCTTTTGCAATAAAGCAAGAATGGGAATGTTTTTGAATAGTCTTTGTTTTTGTTTTTTTCAGGTTTACACTATCAACTTGGAATCTCGCTATTTACTGATACAAGGAGTTCCTGCATTAGGTGTTATGAAGGAATTAGTTGAACAATTTGCATTATATGGTGCCATTGAGGAATATCATGCTCTAGATGAATATCCAGCAGAGCAGTTTACTGAAGTGTACCTTATAAAATTCAAAAAACTGCAGTGTGCAAGGTATTGGACAGGGTAATATCTGCCTCTTGCTGTCTTAATCTTTTACACCATCTGTACTTGGCAATGTGTTAAGTTTCTATAGAGCTGGAGTCAAATCCTCAGTTTTGTTGACAGACTTTACTTCCCTTCAGGGTGGCCAAGAAAAAAATGGATGAACGAAGTTTCTTTGGTAGTTTGCTGCACGTGTGCTATGCTCCAGAATTTGAAACAGTCCAAGAAACTAGAGAGAAGTTGCAGGACAGAAGAAAGTATATAGCAAAAGCAACAAATCAAAGAGGTTTGTGGTTAAATTTCCTTAGAATCCTGACTAAACTTCCTGTAAGGCTTTAATGTTCTTCAGTACTGGGTGGGGTTTTGGCTAAAGCGCCCATTAAAGAAAACACTTTCTACCTACCTCTTTTAAAGGTGCTGTAGTGTGTTGATGGTGGCCAGATGCCAGGCACCCACCAAAGCCACTCACTCACTGCCCTCCACAAACTGGACAGAGGACAGAAAATTTAACAAATGGTTCATGGGTTGAGATAAGGACCAGGAGAGAGATTGGAAAGAGTCTGCCAGCTTCTCACAAAAGCCAACCCTGTAGCACCCCCTGCTACAAGAAAACAGGCCATGCAAACCCAATACAGATGCATTTTAAGTATGTTTACAGGGAGACATCTCTCCGTATGTAGAGAGCTATATCCTTTTCAAAGTAATTTTTTGACTTTGATTAAGATTAAAATAATGAAATTATTAAGCTTTAATAATGAAGTATTTCCTTCACTTTTTTTTTTCTTTCTTTTTTTTTTTGTTTTTTCAAAATGTTACCAGAAATTTAAAGCACTGGCAGGAAATTTGGGATCACATGTGTTTTCACCCTTGTTCCACCCTCCTCAGGCATGCCAGAGGGACAGTTTTGGAAGGAATATGACTATACCAGAACCATCAAAAAAATTTCTCCAGCGCACATCTTTGTACTGGGGGATTTTTAAGAATGGACTGTGTTTACAAAGGCTTCTGTACCACAGAGTTCCCAGGCAGCGCTGAAGGCTGGGCAAGCTGAAGAATAAGCAAATTGCTGAGCACAAGCTTTTCCTTTCATGTGCTCACATACTTGGTATCATTATTCATTGTGTGAGGATTTCTAAAGGGAGTAAACCCACTGATTTTTAACATCAAAACATCTGTGTTTTTTCAATGTTATAAACCAGCAAAGGCACTAGACTAGAAAATTGGTTTGAAAGTTGAATTTGTTATATTTGAAGCTTAAAAATAATCACAGAAAGGTACTGGGTATCACTGGTATTGTTTTGTTCTTGGCTGTTAGAACTAATAATGACATGAAATACTGAAGGTGGTTCTTTGTTGTTGTTTAAAGATTGCTTTGTGTTAAGAAAAGTAGAAGGCCCTAAGAAGACAACCTCAAAGAACTCTGAGCATGACTGTCCCTGGAGTACATCGGGATCAAGTATAGCCAGGAACTGGGATCCGTCCTGCTTTACAAGTTCTCCTGGCATATCCCACAGCACAGCATATCCATCTGGGAATCAGAATCAGAGCCTGTTAACACCTCCACCCTATGATAACAATTGTGCTGAAATTTCTGGGTACTTTGGTCAAAACACATCTTTAACTCCAAGTGTACATCCAGGAGGACATACTCCACCAGCTTCCTTAATGCAGCAAAGAATGGTTCCAGCTTGCAATGGAATTGACAGGTTTATGCCTCGTACAACTCACCTACAAGAACGTAAGAGGAAAAGAGAAGAAGGTAACAAGTTTTCCCTCATTGGAACAAGTGAGGACAATACTGAAGTTGTTATTGGTCCACAACTACCAGAAATACCTAAAGTGGATATGGATGATGAGTCTTTGAATACTTCAGCTACATTAATTCGAAATAAACTGAAAGAGGTATGGGTTCCTAAAGTTCTGATAGTTCAAACATAGGTGCTTGTTATACATAAAAATAGTGACTGTCTGAGCGCTTTATTCAGCATTTACTCATTATCAGTTTATCTGCCACTTAAAGCTAGTGCTCTTACTGTTTAACTTTTCCACAGTCTAGAATATTGCAGGCAATTCTACTCCAGACCTCTTACACTACACTTGGGAAAGTGTAAATGTCAGTGCATGTTCTTACATGATTTTTCATAAACCACTTTTATTTTCTACACATGTAAAGGCATGATAAGTTTACAGGTAGTCCTGCTGACTCCAGTGTGCTACTTATATCTGGTTTCTGGAAGGAAAATAATGGAAGTCAGAGCTCAATGTAATTTTGCTCCAATGTTTCTTATGCCATTAAGAGCTTTACAGAATCATTAATTCCATGCTGAGAAGCATGTGCTAAGCTATGTATCCTTTTATGGAGGATATGAATCAATTAGCAGGTCAGACATTCCTCACAGAACATTTCACTTACAGTAAGATATGAAAAAGTTCCCTTGACTAACTAGATTGATTTGAATGTGCGTATCTTACAAATAAGCACTCTTTATATTAAATACCTTTCTAAAACAAATGTCAAAATGCATGTGTGTGCTTTCCCTTCATTTCCTGAAATACCTGAGTTTATAAAGCACATCAAACCTTACTTAAAAACACCTGTTGGGAAGAAGGGAGATGACATATGCGATACTATATCACTGACTATCTGAAATCAGTTTGTCTAGTTAAATACAAAAATGGTAGTGCTGAATCTTCTAAGTTTCACCTCTCTTGTGTTTAACGCTGCCTTTGGTGTTACTTTCTTCCCCTAGTCAGCAGGAAAATTCAACACAAGTGTGATGATAGTAATAAATGGCTCCCAATACTCAAATCTTGGCGATGTGGCCTTACTCTAAAATGAGCATTAAAAAAGTAATGGTTACGGGTTACTAAATTTTTTCCCCTCCAATTTAGGTAGCAGATTCTGTTTCAACATCTGTGGAAAAACCAGAGAGCAGCTCAGCCAAACCAGCTGTAAAGCAGAGAAGAAGAATATAGATACTGCTGGCAGCATCTTCCAACAGTCCTTTACTTGTAAAGTTTAAAATATGTATTTTTTAATGTAAAAAATAAAACTTTCTTTATATTGTATTTCCCAGTGATTCCCTATTTAAAATGGTGTTATTCCAATGACTTGGAATGAAGAAACCAGTATACTGTATTATTGTTGCTGTGTTGTCCTGTGTACCTCATATTGTAACATATTTTGTAACTCACAGAAGAACTCTATTTAGGTAGAGTTATAGAAGTAAATTCATTTATTTGACAACTTTAACAACAAAGGAATACTGAAGCTTAGGAGCAACTCGAAATATGACTGTTTTTACTACATCACGAAGAATGGTGAAGACGAAAACCCCTTTTAACAGAATTCAGCAGTGGAGTTACAACTTAAAAAAAAAAAAAAAAAAAAAAGAAAAAAAAAAGAAGTTAATTTTCAGTTAACTAAAAGATTTCTTTTTAGTCCGAAAAGGTACTGAACTGAAATATGTATGCAGTGAAGACTCTTGCTTTTTAACTTAGAAAAAGTAAATCCATAGCATTAATGGTGTCATCACTGGCAGACCAGCCAGAACATTCAAAGTTATAGCTGAAGGAGAAATTAAAATTTTAACTGCTCAGCAGTAGGGGTGTGTCACCAAGGAATGATCTGGCATGGAGGGCAAGAAGGCCCAGCTGCAGAATGTGATAAACTGGATGAAAACTAGGAATGCTAGAGACTGGGATGACAGTGTACAAGACTGAAATTTCCCTTAGTGATGAGATTAATATCTGCAGCATTGTGTTGCAACAACCCTGCAGTGGGAGTGCTCAGGGGCCACTTTTGGATAGCAGAACTAGCACTGAGAGGATGAAGCCAACATTGGCCTAAGATACCCTGACATTGACAGGATTGGTGCAAGTGTCTGTAAGGAACTGGCTTGTGCAGTCTTTTTTTGAACTCAAGGTTAATGTACCTTTATGTCTGGCAAACATGGTCCAAAGGCTTCTAAGAGAAGGTTTTCATCTCTGACTGCTGTTTCAAAGTCCGTAAAAGAAAGCTTGCCATCGTGATCATAGTCCTGCAAAAGGAAGGGAACACTTCAGCAAAGGATTATTACTTGTAGTTTTGTTTAACAGATGTTTAAAGAACACGGATTTTATTTTTAGTTAGATTTGCAAATTGGGGGTCATCAGTTTATGCTCAGAAAAGATTAGTGTGACTTGCCTCTACCTAAGGTAAAAAGGGTGGGATTGAAAAATTGAAAGATGGGCTTAAATAAAAGGCGTTGGGATGCAAGACCTGGTTTGAAGTGAAAATTTTTGACCACCACCATGGAAGGGGAGAGTATATATATCTTGATTTGATTAAAATCTGATACTCCCAATTAAGCACTGTAAGACAAGCTTCACATTAATAACCTTGAGTTTAGTATTCTAACAGAATGCATACAAATAAATTGGATAAAGACATTTCATGATAGGTTGATAAAACACAAATGTACTTAAAAATGTAGCTACTGCAGTTGCCTGTACTGATGGAATAAATGCAGCTTACACTTTTGAGTTTTCCACTTCTGACTGGGCTTTTGCTTTGACTGGGCATGCACAGATGTATATGCACATACACACATGCTAGTTTATACATAAAGTTACAGTACATTCACATACTAAATTAATTATTTCATAGTAATAAATACTGGACTGGGACTCATTAGATCTGGATTATATTATAATATATTAACTATATTTATTATATTATATTATATATTTCTGGCTTTCCTCAGGAGACTTGCAGAATCCCACTGTAAATAAGATACCTTATTTTGTTACCTCATAGAAAGGTTTAAAGTATCAGTTAGTGAATGTTTGAAAGACCCTCAAGTATCACAATAAGTAAGTACTTGCCATTTTCTTCAGTGCTATCTCTACCAAGTCCTTAACTCCCTCATCAGGCTCTTCATCTGCTGGTTGTATGAGAAGGCTGTTTTTCAGCATTTGAAACATTTCCTCTTTTGAAATGTATCCATCACCATTCAGGTCATAAATGGCAAAACAGTCTTTTGAAACACAAATAAATTGATTACAAACTAGAATCACATACCATTCAAGCTGTTACCTATAGACAGAAAATCTGAGCTGTATATTATCAATTAAGCCAAGTTTATCATATATATGCTGAAACACTCCTGGCAAACACTTGTGACAGACAGCACTGCATCACAATGCATTAGTATCTTCTATGGTGCTCACAGCAGGAATGCATATTTTACTGTTTGTGGTTGTACTGACACACTGAATTACAACCCGGGCACACATCCTAATGCTGTGACACCCCTGACCACTTCCAGATGAATTTATGTAATGCAGAAGGGATTGCTAATGCTGCAACCTAGGAACTATGGAAACAATATGCTGTCATTCTCCTTTTTCTATTGTTTTTTTTTTTTTTTCACCCCACATACCCTATTTTTTTCCCCCTGCTGCTTAAAATTCTAGAGTTCTTGCCATTTTTTCTCTTCCATCTTTCTTATTATTACTGTGGAAGCTCTCGTTACCATCTTACAGTTTTTCCATCTGTGCTTCCAACCTGAAGAATTGCTGGAGCTAATGCAACTGCTACTGTGTCCCCACTGTGCCAGTAAATTAATGTTGGCATTGGTCTTGCTTGGCTTGAGATTGTTAATTAGCCAAAACCACGCTACAGACTCATCTGCTTCTTTCTGTGTGTGAATACAAAAACATGTACTTTGTTTAAAGTGTATGCTGTAGAATAAACTTCAGTTTAAATGCAAGATTTTGTAAGCAACAAAAAAAGGTGGTGGCTGTGGTAACAGCAGTTTACACAGAAAAAAAAACTATCTCAGAGAAGCCATTTCAGAACTCAGTTTCATTGCATTAAACGACACAGAAGAAAAATTTTCAATTAACAAATACTTTATAAGAGTAACTACTAAATAATAACAAAAGCAATGTGTTATTTGTTATGAATTCAATCATTACTACTAAATATTAGCATACAGATCAATCTTACATTTCATCTTCTCTTCCAGTGTCCCTCGAAGTAACACTGCTAAGCCTTCCACCCATTCCACCACATTGATGCAGCCAGTGTTGTCTTTATCAAAAGTGCTGAACACTAGGAAGTGTATTAGACACATTTCAAATTGATATGATAGGGAAACACATAAAAGCAATGTTTTTTTTAAATTCAGTAAAATTGTAAATTATCTTTCTTCTTAAGATGTTTGTCTGCTTTCACCAAGGTAAGATTACCATTCTTGATTCTAAGATGTAACAATGAAAGAGATTTTGCCCTTCAGTCTACTGTCTTCCACTCCAGAATCCTGCCTCGTGAGATTTTGTCTGATCTGTTGCCTTCCTGACTTAAAGAACTACATGAAGTATGCTTCCATGCAGATGTAAAGCAAATAAATCGATATCCCTTAAAATAAGGGATAATTCTGCATACAGATTAAGATTTAAATTACTAGGTTTTCTCTTGGAAAATCTTGGACACAGTAATCCTAGAAACAATATATATTAAATCTATGAAGAAAAATAACCTCTTTTCTGTCATGTAACAAAATATTTTTCTTTTCCCTTCCCTAAGCAACTTTCTATCTCACAGCTTCACTATTCATACAGGCTGTAATATAGTAATTCATAATCAAGGAGTTCAAAGCATCCACTAGCATCTGTAATAATTTGTATTTTCAAATATTCATTAGTAAGTTGGCTGAAGGAACATCTCTCCATGCAGAGCCAAGCATTTTTGACTTAGAAGACAATAGGTTTTGCAAACTGAAATCAGCCCCTTTGCACGTAAGCACTAAAACAATTTTTAACAATGTGTAAGGTAATGTGAGATATCTTCCAAGACACACTTGACTTGCTGAACAAAATTGCATCAAGTTTTTATTTTATGGCATGTAAGTAGCTCTCCTGCTAGAGACATGGAGAAAGTTGAACCAAGGGGTGGCTCTTGGCAGCCCAAGACTGAAAGAAGGGCAGACTCATGCCTGCTCTGCATACTCCTCTAGACACCTCTACATCAGAGATCATTCCTTCAACTTTCAGTGACTGCAAACATGACCCTTGTTACCAGTCTGTGAAATCACTGTATTTTCAAGGGGTTATTTGGCTCATTACTCTCACCTCCTTGTACTATCTGCCCAGGCCCTTTAATGCTGTTCACAGAGCCCCTATTCCCAGAGTTACTGCCGGCTGTATCAGAATGCCTTCCTGGGACTTCCAGGCCTGAGCTAGAGCTGTCGCCCAGCAGCGACCGCAGCTCCCGGTGGAACCACCGGAGAAAAGAGGAAAGTGGCACTGCCCTCTTCCGTCACGACACTACAGAGGCTGCGAGAAAAACAGCCACAGGGCAGCACCACGGCCTCTGGCTGCTGTGGTCCGAGCTAGAGCGTGAGCTCTCCAGATCTAAGGGAAAACTGTAACGCATAAAGAAAGAAAAAAATGCCATTTTCTCAACAGCTCCTCTGCTGTTCTGGACGGGACGAGACGGCGCTGTTTGGTATGGACACTCTCGTCGGGTGTGCAGCGTCATCCCAACCCCTTCCACGGCGTTCAGAGCTGTGTGCCCACCTCACCTCGGTCCAACACCACGTCATCCGTCATGCCAAAGGCGTTGTATAGGGTGTCGCGGAACACGGTGCGGTCGAAGCCGGCCCCAGCGAACTGGCTGCTGGCTTTGGCCACCAGCGTGTCGAAGAGCTTGACCAGACATTCCACTTCGCTTTTGGTAACTGCCCGATCCAAACACAAGCAAACACAGGCTGTAAGTTAAGCTGGTAAAACACGCCAGGGCCATGACACCAATACCACCCCCGGCCCCAACCGCTGTTCCCAAGGGAGCGCCGGTGCCTCCCAGGGGAGGCGAACGGGGGCCACGCAGGATGAGCACGGGAACAACGAGGGGCGGCCGGGCGGCAGCTGCGGGGCTCCTGCAGCCCGGGGGACTCACAGTGCTTGGCGGACCGGGTCAGCGAGTCCACCAGGAGCTTTCTCCCCTTCCTGCTCATGGCGGCCGGGAGCCGCCGCCGCCGCTGCCCTGGCAACGCGGGGGGGCGGCCGCGGCCTGGCGGGGCCGCACGGGCGGGCCGGACATAAACACACAGAGGCAGAACACAGATCAAGTGTTAACACGCATTCAAAAAAACTGCAGTCGTAAAAAACAGAATAACTGCATATTAAATTTCTAAAAATGTTTGTGAGGAAAAAAAAGCTAAAAGTTACAACATACAATAGTACTTGTTCATCTGCTGTCAGAAGGCAAAAATATATTAAACCACTCTTATTCTGACATTGCTCATTGTTTTCTACTTTGTCCCTCTGCTGAAACTTGGAACATGGGTGTTAGTGCCACCAAAAACCACCATCACCAATCTCATTACCTCGGTGTGGCACATCGGGAAAGCTGAAAGGCTGAGACCAGCCTCCACCTTTCCTTCAGGAAAAAGGACATGCAAGAGCAGACATTTGTTAATGTATTGCAAACTGAAGCAGTTCCCTTTCAGTACCAAAGCAGCTTTGTTGAGAACTGACAAAGCCCATAAGCCCCTTAAGCGGCTACACCCCTTCCCAAGCATGACAGCAGCACTCCAATCCTACAGCTGAGCAGAACAGATAGTTACAGTCACACAATTAAAATTCCATACCAGCTTAGGTATTTGGAAGACTGGGTCTCATTTCCATTTTTATTTCTTTCTGTGGCAGGTGGTTGAGTAAAAGTCAAATAAGGTATCACACAGGACAGAGCATTTATGCTATGGTTCATTACAGGTTCTTTTACCAAAACTGCAACACCACAACTTAAAAAGAAAACCCCAACAAAACTTAACACAAACCCCAAATCAAACCCCTCTGTTCACTGCATATCACCTTTATTTTAACCTCACTGACAAGAGTGTCTAGAATTGGTAACATCAAGCCCAAGAGTATAAAATAGTTGATGAAAATATTACTATTGTTTAGATGCACATTGCTGCAACTCAATAGTTGTATTCTCCCAAGAACTTGAAGACAATTTCTCTTTACAAAGGCAATATGAAATTACCTTTCTCCCACAGATTTTAGTTATGGTTTGCAGACTAATAATCAGTGTCTTGAAAGTCCTGAAATTCTTGGCAACACAACATTTGAAACATCCGTATGCAATAGAGGTAAGTTCTAAGTTAGCACCTGTGCAATGGAAAAAAGGGGTAGATCAAAAATACAATCTATATTTGACTACCTGGGATGGATGGGCATTTGTTAAAGGCTAACAGAAGGTCCAGCAATCAGTATTTCAATGGAAGATGTAGTGAGAATTTAATGTAAACTAAAATCAAATGGTTGCTCATGTTTTCTTGTGGGCACATTTAATTAAAAAAAGCTTTTTTTCAGTTATCTAAAGCAACTAAACTAAAGTAAAACAGCCTTATGAGTTAGGTCAACATTCTGTAGCCCTCAAGTACAAAAATATAAATACAAACTGTTTAAACAGTATCTTTAATGAGATTCTGGCAGTAGTTTTTTTATCTAACAAGACACATCACATAACAGATCTGCCACTGAACTTGCTCAGAGTAAAATCAGCTTCAATATGAAGCTGTTTAGGTATCAAAACCTTGCTTTTTACATGCTAAATAACTTCAGCAAGTGTGCACTTAAACACAGCAATGAACTTAACTATAACTAAATACATACATGAAAATCTTCATGTGAAACGTAATTCATAGAACTGGTTACAACAAATGATTACCTGCATTTTGTTAATTTAAAAATGGTACAAATCATGCAAAACAATTCTAAAGATAACGCAAAGAAAGCTACCAGTGTTTGCAAGAAGTTTTCAATTAAACCAAAATTACATTGAATGAAATGCGCCTATTTACTAGCAAAGGTCTATCACTATTTTGAAAAAGCAGAGGTAAAATCTTCAGGTTTTGACTGTCAGTTATACTGCAAAATGTCATTGCTCTTGCTTAATGCAGAAGCACATGCTTGGAAGCTCAAAACTGCTCATTCAGAAAAGTCTGCTGACAATAGCTCTAGCTTCCCAAGAATGCAGAGATGCATGGATTAAAAGTAGCAAAGATTTGCAAGAATCAAAGGCAAAGGCACCCTATTCAGGTAGCCAAAATGGTAGCATTCCCTTTCTCATAAGCATGGAGATGGTAATGGGGCAGATGATACAGATTTCTACAAAGGCAGCCTTTTAAATGTTATCATTAATTTTCCATTAGCAGACACCAGCTTGTAGTTTATGCATAATATTAACCTGCAGGATGAACTTGGGATTTAATTTGTCCTGATTTACAAATAAAGACTTTTACTAATGCTTTAAAAGACTATTTTTACTATCTAAAAGATTTAACTCTTATTTTCCAATATTTTACACCTCAGGTGGCCTACCATCTCATATTGTCTCAAACATCTAACACTGCTTACTGGAATCTTATCAAAGTTGTACCTCGTGTATTAAGCAGCAGGCAATAACAATGGTCTTTCCCAGCACAGCTGCATCTGGCTGGCTACTGAAAGATTAGGAACATTTCTAAAACACAGGAAAACTCATGCAGTTTGGTAAAGTTTGCTGTCATTTCACAGTTTAAGTTTCCTTTAGTCATTGCACTTCTGTTGATAGTCTCCGGTTGTTTTAAAATATTATTCTGAATCTGAATTTGAACCAGCAGTCTTCTTTTTCTTCTTTTTACCATGTTTCTTGTGCTTCTTTCTCTTTTTCGTTTTATCCTAAAAAGAAACAAAAACCAAAAAACCAAAGTTATTGTATAATAAAATTGCCATCTATTACATTCTGCTAATGCAAAATGAGAACCCAGAAAGAATATCTTTTGAAAGACATTTCAAAAGAGATTTCTATAGAGGCCTATTGAGAAATCACAAAAAGAAAACCTTTACTTGGCAATTTGCACTATTATGAGCAGTCTTCAATTTAAATTTATCTCCACCATGGTACGGCTATTTTACACCTCTGATCACTGTCACTATGACATTTCCTAATCTTTTAAATTATTTTCAGAGCATTATAGATTACTGAGAAAGTAATAAGGAAGTGTTGACCAGTAGTGACAGATTTGGGAATAACTAGGATCTTTACAGATTTTAAATTAAGCGCTTAAATTCACTGTGTAAAATTAAATAGCTCAACTGCACTTGGCTAGACTATCACGTGTACCTTGTTTAAAATAAAACAATTATGATCTCAGCTGTAAATATAAATACAATCAAATTTACCCTACAGGATTCAGTCCTAAAGGTAGTACTCTGATCAATGTAATACAGAAGCTCAGAGATACAATCTTGTCTTTTTGAAAGCAGAATTTCAACTGAAATTCTCAAATAGGTGTTGCATAAATGAAACAATCAGTATTAAAGCTTTGTTTTATACATATTCCTTACACATGCAAATCTTTTATGAAAAAGACCATAAGCAATCACTAGAAATGTTATGGCAAACGGTTCATGTGAGTCTGAAAAAACAAGGAAGTTCCATGGAGAAATGTGTACTGAGTATCACTGATAATCCCATGCCTCTATTCTAGGTGACTAATGTAGACCTTCTGTTTGCCCCAACTCATGTGGACAACTGAGATGCCTGATAAGGAACACTGCTGCTGACAGGGGAGACAGATACAAAGACATCTCAAGTGGGCATTTAGGATCCCAGACCCACTATACTCCTCACTGAGGAACCTCAGGTACATGTGGTAAATCTGGATTCCATATAAATCACGGCTGAACCTTCCTCTCACTTTCACCAACAGATACAAAGAAAAAAATATTGAGAAAAGTAGCAGGTTGCTGGCAGCTTTTTATCTGGCTGGGAGAAGAGTTATAATGGCACAGATGTTGCAGCAATTTTGTCCTAAGGCCCTTTCCATGGTGGCAGAGAAGGCTTAGCAAGGAATTACACACATTGCTAATGAAGGAACAGCCCTGATGTCTGTCTGTGTGGCAAACTGTTCCCCTACTTGATACCACACAGGTATTACTAGTTCCAGGACACTAACACAGAATAAAGTATGTTCTACAGTGTTAAATTTGTATAAGTCTCAAATCACATATAAGTGAAAAATTCTTCTTTAATTCAACAATTGAAAAAGTGACTTCAGCAAGTAAATAGAGAAACTTTTAATTTAGATGTAACAGTAGACTACTGCTATAAAACATTTGTATTTGTGAAAAACGTGAAACTGGAAATTAACCAAGTACAGAGTATTTATATCCTAAAACTACAGTATGAGTAAGAGGGATACTTGCTGTTTTCTCTTTTTCCTCATTGCTTTTCTTCTTTTTCGCTTGCACCTAAAGAAAATTAAACCAAATGTAGTATCCATAAAAAGTTGATTCTCAAGAAAATTAATTCAAAATTACTTGTAGGTGATAGAAGCTAGACTAAACAATCTTTAGAAGTTTATTTTAAAAGGAAAAATACAAACAACTTTGAGTGCACTGCACTCTTCAATTCACTTGTACAGTGCAGAACAGTTTCAACAATGTATTAAATCTAAGCCAATGACTGATTGATTCGCCCATGAATCACTAAGCTACAACCACTGTAACATCTGAAACTGAGGATTCACACTGACCTCCTCTGTCTGATCCGATTCAGATACAGATTCTGATGATAAAGGTCCATCTGCTTTCTTCCTTTTCCTGTGGTGATTTTTACCTTCCTACACAAAGTAATACATTTGTGAGTAAAGTCAGATCTTTCACATTTTATACAACTTTGCTTAAAATTTAAGACTGAAATATCACTTCTAAGTTGTGAAATATTTGAAAATATTACTGACATTAAACTAATTCCATCAAATTACCCTACCAAACTGTTAAAATCAACTTTTAGTGAAAATAATAATTTCCTGTATATTCCTTTTTCTTGTTACCAAGATACAGCAACTGTCTAAAAGCGAGAGGAATAATAACAGTCCCTTCTTTTACATAATAACACACATGGAGGAGTAAGCATTGGAAAACATAAAACATTTCACCACTTTTAAGTAGCTAGTAACTGAAGATGTCTCAATATACACATACAAACACTTTCGTTTCAGACTCTTGCTTTGTTCATGAAAGAAAAATCTCCCTCTGTATTCGTGTTGGAACCAGAACAAGCTGTCCCTGCCAGCTGTACTTTCAACACATCATATTTCACTCCAGTGCATTTAAAAGACAGGTTTTTTAAAATCCTGATGCTGTGTAAGATTCTCTCATTCTGACGAGATACTTTTCTGCTCCCTGCACTTCCCTTGCTGTGGACAAGGCAATGTGTTCTTAAGACTGAAGGTACTTTCTCTCACTCAGTTCCTAAGACAAGAAACTTCTGAAAAGATCTCATAACCAAGTGCAGGATGCAGCCCATCTGACATATGGGGGATCTGCAGGTAGTGGAAGAAAGACCTCTAGTCCCCAAGTACCCTTTGCTTTCAGAGGATGTGTGAAAGTAGGACTACAACAAGGGACCATGGTAGATACTTGGTCTTCAAAGAGAAGACATTCAAAATGATGAGATGGGAAATGGACACTGTAAAATAGAAGCAGGAGCAAGGGGGGAAAAATCAGTACATTTGCTTTAGGCAATGGAGGGTCTGTACATCAACATCAATACTATTGACCAGAGCAGGAGAGGCCAACATGATAAGAAAGAAAGGTAACTGGAGAGAAAGACTAGGGTGGACTCTGAAAGCATTTTAAGTTTACACATCCACAGTGTATGAATAATTAAAATTTAAGGTAATTAGATTGTTTATATTAAAGATAATGGATGAGTGTACAAAATGGTGTGGTGGTGGGCAGGAGAGAGGATTTTTGTGTTTAGAGAAATGACAGAATAAGGTGATTTTTCTTAATCTAATATATTTTTCTCCCCAATTCTTCAAAGCTGTCAGAAGTATCTATAATTATGACTACATTTAGATAAAGAGATCCTCTGCTTATATTTCTTAATTTACAGTAGCAAGTCAATAACCCACCAGGTGTGCCACTGAAAATATCCTCACACACATTTTTGGCTCAATGTAACAGCTAAAGGTAAGCTCCAAACACTAAGGATGCAGCTGATCTGCTGTAGTAGATTAGATACAGTTTTAATTTAACCTTTGTAACAAGAACAGATCCAGTGGTTTTCACTACAATAATTACTAAACCAGGAGCTGAATCCAACTAAGCCTCTACTTCAAATTGGGTGCACTGAATACCTTTTGACTGTGTGGGTTGGGACAGAAAATTTCCACAGATGTAAAATGAGGCATTCAAAATTAAAAAAAGAAATATCTATTATGTATGCAACATGCAGTTCTGATCGAAGGATTCAAAGAATAAAAATACCTTCTCTTTTTCACAGTCTTCCTTTGACCTCTTCTTTTTTGTGCTATCCTAAATAGAAAGGAAAACAAATCACAACAAAATCATTTCATAGAAAAGGAAGAAATCTCCAAGCAGTCTGACCAGTAGTCTTTTTATGTCTGTTGAAGGTAATTCTTCAAGATTTTCCTTTCCACCTTGCAGTTGACTGAAGAATAATATAAAAAGCTGTAATTTTGATGCAGCTGCTAATCTCCTGATCCAGCAACATGAGAAGGTCTGTATGGAATGAGGTAACAGCATCTTTGCAGCACACTTAAGAGAAATCTCTGGGAAGGATACCAGCTATCACTGCTGTAACCATATATAACATGTAACAGTTGGGAATCTTTTTCATTATTCATGTGTGTCTCTGCTGATCAGACCAGATTAAGCAGAAGTTTTCCCAGAGTTTTTTGCAGTAAGGGTATCTCTGGGTCCCTTTATGTAGCAGAAGTTTTTAACCTTCCATTAGCACAAATTCATTCAGGTGTATGCAAATAGTCATTCATTACAATTTATATCTCACCAAATTAGGTATTGCAGTGAAAGCCTGTGATAAAGTCGACACAGAGAATCTTAAAAAACTCACTGTATTATTAATACTTGAGCAAGAAGTACAGTAACTGTACACTGTAAGACAGAAAAATGCTAACATAACAGAACAAGCTGCCTTGTGTATCTTCACTTTTTTGTTCATTCAGTAAGCCCACGTATTGACATTGCTATACTTCAGAAAAGGAAAAAGACAACTTCAATTTAATATGCATTTGGGAAAGGCTCAGCTGTCCAACAGGAAACTACTCAGATATTTACAAAGGCAATGTTCTGGCCACTGCTATCCAGCAATACCTGCATTTTCAGATACAGTGTTCAATTAAATTGCATATTCCGAAGACATTTTAAGTATTAATGAAATATAAAAGCTAATTATTTGAGGAACAAAAAAGCTGCATATGTCTGGATTCAGAAAAATGACTACAAATTGCTGGAATAAAGCACATTAATTTTTTAAAGATCCAATTACTTCCACTAGGCATGTGGCCAGTGGAGGCAGATTCCACACTGCATGTGGAAGATACAAGCGCAGCTCAGGCCCTGTGAGAATACATGGCTTTAAATGTGGAAGATGAAAACCATATTAATATGTTAAAGTCAGAAATCTTTATGGTTTTGTAACACCAACGAAGAAAACTTTCCAAGAGCAACACATCTGCATATTTACCTTGCTGTCTGACTCAGATTCTGAAGTTGTGCTTGCTGAAGATTTCCGTGAGGAGCGATACTTCTTCTTCCTTCTTTTCTTCCCTTGCTTTTTATCCTATCCATAAATATTGTAAAAAAAAGAAGGAAAAACACAAACTTGAATTTATTCTCACTAGAATTAAAGATTTACATTAAATGTAAAGAAAAGGAAACATCAAATTCCTACATGTTACAATGTTCTCCTGAGGAATAAAGTACACTACAATTGATTCTTTTAGTGGAGGACCTTCATTACTCTTCTGCATTGAAAAAACATAAGCTGGTGAAAAATCCAGGTTCTCTAGATTCTGTTTATTATTTAGATGTATGCTGTAGAATCTGATTGTCTGTAACAAAGATTTTTGCTAGAAAGTAAAAAATGGTATTTTTGCATTTTTATGATTAGATAGGGATTCTATTAGAAAAGCAATTCAGTGTTAAAATGGATCCAGTTTACAAGCCAGGATGCCAAAATCTGCAGTGTTCAGACAGAAACTATTAACTAGATACATATGTCTAAAATTCATGACTTTATTATATACAGCAAATTAATAAAAACTAAATAGTTTTATCCAAACCAGCCCTTCAAAATATTCTAAAACATATTATCAAAATCTGTGTTAACTAAAGCTCATGAACAAAACATGATAGATTCCAGTAGGTTAGCTCTTACCTCATCTTCTGAATCAGATGAACTGCTGGAAGAATCAGAGCTTGATGAAGAAGAGGAAGATGAAGACAACTTGACCAAATACAACAAAAAGTGAAGCTTGTGAGATGCAGCATTTTGTCTGGCAAATACTCAAAAACCTATTCAAACACTCCCTTTAAAATGTCTTCATTTTCAAAGCATAACCAATACAATTTTATTTCTGAGAAGCTGGTCTTACATAGATTTTTCTTAAATAAACTTCTAAACCACTTCTAATGGTTTTCTTTTAATAATATTTAATGCTCTTTTCCTCCCTTTAATTTTCCTTGTACCAAATATATGCAAACCCTTTCTAAATAAAAGTTAATTTAGCATCTAAAATCAAAATTACAGCTATACTTTCTCTTTCCAGGAGAACTTAAATGACAAACAGGTACAATCCCAAAGCAAAAAAGCTCAGAAAACTGAAAATTTTGCTCACCCTATTAGATTTCTTCTTTTCCTTTTTCTTTTTCTTAAAAATAGAACAAAACAAATGTTACTTTAGCATCATTTTCTTTTGGCATGCATTTAGGTTTATTAACTTTGATGCTACCTTTTAAAATGTATTCACAAAATTCTGTGTTGGCAGCATTGATGATAAATCTAGTTCCAAACACAGAATGTATACAACTGAAAACAACTTACCTCTTTTTTTTTGGAGGAGCTCTCATTTCCACCCAGTAATTTCTCCCTGTGTTTTTCCAGTTCTTTCCTCCAATTCTGAAAACAAAACCAAACAGAAACAGTAACAGGAGGGTCATTCCTGAGCAGTATTTTTTAAGCTCTCCTCTACCTGACATTATAATTTTAACAAAATCTGGTTTTTAACAAAAAGAAAATAAACAATATATAACATTAACTAAAGCTGTGTAATACAATTGATTTTACAGAAGATTATTATTTAGCAAAATACAGTGTTAATGTTAACATACTTAATGTTCAAGTTATTTGGCTTTAAGAGATGGCCATTTATCTTGAAGGTCACCAATTACAGTATTTTTGCTTTTGTATCACAGTCTTCTTGTTAGAGCACTTTAGAAAACCAGGGCACCCTACCAGAAAAGCCATGATTTTGTCTTAGTTCTAAAAATCACCTGAAACAAAACTTCAAGACAACTTCTCCTGGCCCTTCTTCAACGTACGGGTGTCTCTAGTGTGTATTCTGGGCCTTGTTGGTGTCAGCAATATTACTACACACATCTTCATAGAAACACTCTTCTTTTGTTAGGCCAAGCACACCACATGAATGAATAAAAATCTCCTCTTATTCCTCCTTTTCAGTTCTCCACCTGGTCTCTAGATTTACCTAAAATGTCCTCTTAAAGAGCTCTGAAATATCCAACCTGCCCCCATGAAACTCAAAGGCTGCTAGGTTCAGTGTCACTGTCAGACACAAAATGTGCTCCCTTCTCTATTATTCTGATCCTCACAATGCAGCTGTATTGGTACTGTACTGGCAAAACAACGATGATCCACATGTTGTGCTGAGGGCACAGAAATATCAGGAGTCAAATAACCTGTGCAATGCAGGATGATACACAGATCCCCACATCAGCACACTGTGAATTAGCTGAACGGAGCTGCTGAGGGACATGGCAGATGAGCCAGGAAGCAGTGCTGTGTGTCATGTGCTTCCACGGACCAAGGCGGCACCTGTGGGTTGTGCCCTTTGATACACGAGGCACCCTGAGCTCTCTGAGGGGTCTCACACAACAGCCTGTGCGTCATTATTTTAAAGACTGTGCTAGTGTTACATTTTAAACAGAAATGTCCAACAACTGTCAGTAAAATACAACACCTCGTTCAGAGACTTGCTATCTTTTCAGGCATTCAGAGATATGTTCTTAGGAGCTTCAGGAATAACTCATGGCCATTTCACAATTCCTGCATCCCTTCCTACCCTGCTACCATACTCAAAGTTTGGTAGCTTCTGTGCGTGCCAATTTCACTTATTTCACATTAAGCAAAGATAAAGTCTGGTAAGGAATATTATAGAATACTAAACCAAACTCACCAAGCTAAAACTCAAGAGTGCAAAACAACTGATCCTCTCAGAACAGGACCCTATGGCCCTCCATATCCTGGTACAACTTCTTAGGCAAAAAGGTACAGCAAGAGTACTATGGGTACTAAGCCCTTCCAGTAACAGAGGAGGAGCATAATCTACTTCAACCAGAAACTTACACACAATGATAAAGATTACTGAAGCTTATCTCAAGATACCAGGACCCAAGAAGGAACAGAAACAAAATAAATTTATTGTACACTAATTTCTCCCTTGTATACAACAGGAGTTACATGTGAAACTTTCTAATACTGTGCTGATCTTCAGTAGGTAAAGAACACAAACATCAGAACAGCTGCATTTAAATCAGGAAACCAGCACATGCTGTAATCAGCTTAGGATGAGAGAAAAACAAGTGCTTCATAGTCCTATCTAACTGAAAGCCATTCTTTGTGCTTTCTCCCATAATAATATTACATGTACATTCCTTGCCAAAGACATCTCTTTCCAGTAATGCACTTTTTTTTCACTGTACTTGGCTTCCGTGACCTTAAACAAGTGAATATTAGAACAACAGACTTTGATTTATCATACCTGAAAATGCACTGTTTAATTCATTGATATAAGCACATATATAAATATATCTACATTTGTGACCAGGTCAGATTTGATTCACCAGCAATCTAAAAAATGTTTTATATAGTTTTTTCTCTGAACTGAAAGTAGCTCTTCACTAGTTAAATTGTAAACTCAACTTCCAACATAAATGAAACAAAATAGTTACTCATTAAAAGTTTAAGTGAAGTGAAATGTTATGGCTAATTGATATTGTAAATGATAACAGAAGTAGCATGTTAGATAAAAAGAATCATGTATTAACAGCTAATAATACTACCAACCTCATTCATCTTTTCTTCAAACTCAGCCAAAGCCCTGGATCCTTTCTTTTTCTTTTCTAGTTGCTCTTTCACTTCTTCCCTGTATGAAAAGGATGACAGATCACAATTTTACAATTAATAATACCTTCTTCAATGTCTAACTTTTCTGAAGTTTTTTTGAAGTTTAGCCTTGGTTGAACTTCCAAGAGAAGAATGAAAGCATCTTAGATGTTACACATATGGTAACCTAACCCTAATAACTTAAGTACGGTTGTTAAATCCCTCCAAAAGATCTAAAGCTAACTTTGCAATTAGGTAAATTGTTCTCTAATGTCTCATGAGGGCAGGCAAAGGGATTGAACATAAAGTAAGTTCTTGATACTATCTCAACGTGATGGTTTTGTTGGGTAGGGTAAACGGGATTCTAAGAATAGACTAGCAAAATGTTTTTTTCAGAAATTAATTTGTTTACAAATTAAATATATCTACAAGATTTAGGTATTACAATTTGAGCAAGAGGTAAAATGACATTTTCCTTTTCTGAGGAACTGTTGCCAATAAAATACAGACTAATGAGAAATATACATTTGAAAATGAGGTAGGCACCAGTGACATTTTAGTAAGAGGGAACAAATCTTTTACTGAAGAGGTCAAAAAGGCAGACAAGCAGTGCCACTTACCACGTTGGTCTTGGCCTGTTCAAGTAGTCTTGTATTGTTGGTCCTGAATTTGGGGCAGGACCTCGTGCCCTGGCCATAGCTATGGGATTCATATAAGCCTTGAATATGAAGCAACAAAAAGAAATACCAAATTCATCAGTTACACTATGATACCAAAATATCTTTTTTGTTCTTCACATAAACTTTTTATCACTCCCTGAAAAATAATTCTGACTTGCTTCTAAGAATATAAAAGATTTAGCTACACTAAGTTTATTCAGTCTGGCAGAAAGACTAAGGTAAGTGCTTTCAGTTATAGTCATACTGTGGCAGAAAGAACTGATCCACAAAAAGACCACGTTCCTTCCAACAATTCCCTTTCTTGAGCAATGATTTTGTAAACAAGAATAGTATCATGTTTTCTGAAATATTCTTCCTTGGGATGTAGAAAATGTAATTAAATTTCAGCTCTCCCCCTCTGGGTCCACTGATCCTATGCCTTTAAAGTTCTGTTCAAAATTGCTGACAGGAGTCACTAAATTCTGCATGAAATTTCTTGCACCAAAACAAGCAAGCAGTGGTACTTTGCTACAATTATACATGTATCAAAATTCTGTGACTCAGGGCTATTTAAAGGAGGAAAAAACTCACAAAACCCAAACATACATAATCCCAATGTTATGAGGTATTCCATCTTTGAAACCTATGCATCCTCTTTGTGTTACAAAAGACTAAATTAAAATTTATAATTCATAATCCACCTCATCAGTTAATGGAAAAATTCTTCTGTATTTTTTTCATGCCAGCAATATTTTTTTTCATGTAAAAATGAGGTACATATACCCCCTTATCTCATTTATTTTATCACTATGTGATCCCAACACTTTATTTCTGCAGAACATAACACACAATGTTCTTACTATTCAGTTTGGAGACGAGGAAAAAGATCAAACATCCAAAAAAAAGAGACTTGCTTTGGTTGCCTAATCTGAGACAATTTTTAAAGAGTACATTTTGTAGATCCAAAGCAAAGATCTGGCCATCTGTGTAGCTCCCACATGTCCAACGCTGCTTTTTACCAGGCATTCAGAAACCGCCATGCACCGTAAGTGAGCATTTGTTAAAGCTGCCAGAAGCAGCAGCTGCTGCCTCCCCTCCAGTTGCTCCCACTGCAGAAGCAGTGACCACAGCAATGCTGGGTTTCTGGACTGCAAGCAGGCTGGTGGCCTCCAGCTCTTGGGGATACATTTTTGGTCCTGGAAGAGGCACTCCAGGCTCTGCCTGGGATGAGGCATGTGGCTGGAAGGAAGCACTGCCCACACAAGTTTAGCTCAGATTCACCAGCTGGACCACTCTGAAGCAATCCAAAGACTCTTCCAAGAAGAGCATTTTGAGACTCAAGTTGACTTTCCAACTCTAAGGGGACATTTACTGCCACTTCTTGGGGCTTTGCTTTGTTGCTTTAATTCACACAAAAAGGCTAACTAACATGGCAAATAAACAAGGAGGTGTGCCAATTGAAACAAGTAGCAGATGGAAGTATGCACTCAAGTACATATTTCATATGTGTTACAACACTGCGGCATTCACATGACAAATCTAAAAATGAATAATTGATTTCAGCTTTGAGTGGAAAAGGAGCTCCTTTAGGAATGCAGGACAGCACTATCTGAACACTGTTTTCACTAAAGAAAGTGACAGTTTCAATGCATTAAATCCACTAGAAAGTTGGTTTACTCCAGTGAGCACACTGACTTTTGGTTACCATTCAAAAATTTGTATCTGAAAGCTCTTCTTATGCAAAAAAAAGGTCTCTTGCTGATCTTAAATGAAAATAAAAAAAAAAAAAAAAAAAAAAAGGTCTCTTGCTGATCTTAAGTGAAAATAAGCTACTTTCCTACCTGAGCTAACAAGTCATGAACACCTCACCACTTCCCAACAAAACTCTTTACCTGTTGAAGAGGCTACAGCTATCAAATGCTTATTTTCTACTTGCTCAAACTGCCCCTGGATAACTGGCTAGGAAGCATCCTCCTTTCATTGGCTTTCTTTAACTTTACCACAGCAAGTACTTAATGACTGTGTACTGCTCTATATTCCAGGATTAGGAAATTTATGTCTTAAGACATGTTCTTATAATTTCAACCAGGTTTGTTTATGAAGAATTACTTCACCAATAAACATTTCTAAAAAGTATTTACACTACTTTGCCAAACTTCATATCACCAGCCAAAAGGAGCATGGAAATGCACCCTCAATAAAGAAAGTGATTGTCTGCACATTCATTTTCTTCTTTTGGCAGTTGCTCAGGCAGGTATTAATCAAGGTATTTGCTGCGTAGGTTCCTTGCTCATGAGAAGTGTAAGGCACCTTCTGTCAGGCAGGGTTCTCTGGGCAAGCAATAACTATTGCTGCCTTGCAAGTACCCTGTAGATGTGCCAAAAGCATGTTTATTTTCCATCTCCAGAAAGTCAAAAACGATGGTGTATTTAAGTAGGGACATGGCAGAGAATAACAGTAGAAACCTCTATGATCATACATGAGGAGCAAAGGGTCCTGTATTATAACCTGTCTGTGGTATGTATTGTGCCATGATGGCATAATAAACCTTATACAGGAACATAAAGATTTACTAGCATTGGCAGGTACATCCCAGCTGTCCCATTAAAAGAAAATTAAGAGTAAATAAATACACACGTGAAAACCTTATAGGACATTTCAACCACAGATCCAGTCTTGAAGCCTAATACACTGTCAGCTCTTAGTAGACTCAGTTTGTTTTTTATTTTGATAGGTCAACAAAGCAATAAAAGGGATTTTGCCATCTATCTATATGGTATCTGAGTCCTTCAAATCTATTACTATACTATTCCACCACGGTTTGCAAAGATGTGAATGGATGTGAGTACAAACTCATAGCATATACAAGAAAGAAACAGAGAAAGGGAAAAAAATAAAGTATTATGATTTGTGTTTAGTCTAAAAATTCAGCAGCATACAATGTTTAAGTGGTTACGAATAGAAGGTGAAAGGCTAACTGGTACAAAAACATTTAAAGAAAAATAGGAGGAAGGATGAATGTGTTTCAGTTATGTATGAGCTCAGGCTCTGCAGTCAGGTGTGTGGAAGCATTTTTTGCCTGCTGAGCGCTGGCTCTCGAGGCAGCAGAGTGCTGCGTAAAGCTCAAATTCAGATCTCTCAGCTACAGCTGAATGCCAAGTTTAAGGAAACGCGGCTTAGCCAGGATCAGAGCTACTTCAGAGACTGCTGCAACTCCCATTGGGAACATTTTATTTTTGTACGGACCAGGGCAGCATCTTAATCACCTTCCCTCGACAGATCACAAAACAGGCGTCAGTCACGATGCAGCAGGATTTGACAAGACAATCGGAGGTTCTGCCAGGGAGCCTCGAACACGTGCCGAGGGAGGGACAACCCACCCACACGGGGCTCCGGCAGATCCCGGGGCGCCCCGGGCCGGGCGGGGCGAGGCCCGCCTTTGTCGCCCCAAGCGCGGCCGGACCCCAGTCCCGGCGCCGCGTACCCAGCCGGCCCTCGGCAGCCTCCGGCCCGCCGCGGGCTCCCCCGCCGGCACCGGGCCGCTCTTGCCCCCGCGGCGGCCCCTTCTGCCCGTCCCGGCTGTCGGAGCGCGGCGGCGGCCGGACGGGCCCGGCCGGGCCGAGGCAGCGCCGGCTCTCCACGGCCTCCACGCCGGGGCCCGCCAGGAGGAACCGCGGCTGCGGCGGAGCCCAGCCGGACTGCCGCGTTACTCACCACACGGTTATCCCGCTTCCCCATGGCGCCGCCGTGACCCCGCGCCGCCGCCCGCCGCCGCCTTGGCCCAGCCCAGGGCCCTTCCCCGCGCCCGGGAAGCCGCGGCCCCTCTCGGCCCCGGAGCTGCGGGAGCGGCGATGGCGGCGGCCACACAGCGCCGCCTGCCGGGGCCGCGCGCCTCGCTCCGCTCCGCTCCTGCGCCCGCCCCGCTCCGCCCAGAGCTGCCCCGGCAGCGCGGGGACCGGGCGGGAGGAAGGGGAGGGCAGCGGAGTTTTATTGCGGGGCTTCGGGTGGAGCGGCGGGGAGACACAGAATCACAATATGGGACAGACACACAATATGGGAAGGGCCACAGTGGGTCGTCTGGCCCAACCTCCCTCATTAAGCAGGGTCGTCTTAGAGCACGACGGAGGATTGTGTCCAGGTTCTTGAATATCTCCAGTGAGGGAGACTCCATACCCTCTCTGGACAATCTGTTCCAGCGCTCGGTCACCTGCACACTAAAGAAGTTCTTGTTCATATTCAGGAGAAACTTTCTGTCCATCAGGAAGTTGCCTCTTGTCCTATTGCTTGGAACCACTGAGAAGAGCCTGGATTCACCCTCTTGGCACCCCCGTTTCAGATACTTATACACATTAATGAGGTCCCCTCTCAGTATCTTCTTGAGGCTGAATAGGTCCAGCTGCCTTAGCCTTTTCTCCTAAGAGAGATGCTCTTTGTAGCCCTTCGCTGGACCCGCTCCAGGAGCTCCATGTCTCCCTTCTGCTGAGGAGCCGCCGGCGGGGCGAGGGCCGGGACAGCCTTGGAAGGGGGAGCAGGGGGTGGCCCTGAGGGGGAGCCCTGAAATGTAAATGTTCACTTGCATCCTGGGGCTCTCGTCTGCAATCTGCCTCCCAGGAGAGAGCAGGATTTCGTAGTGAGAGATTTGTCTCCTCTTGATCCATCTGGTGGTCAGTTACAGAGGGAAGCGCAGTGTTCGCTTTTCCTTTTGCCTTCGGTAGATGCACAGACTAAGGTATTATGAAATAGCAGCCTATCCTGACATCGAATTGGACCCTATTTCGGCGGGAGGGAGAGATAAGAAAAAGAGAGGGAAAAAAAAAGGTGTGTACTCATCCCTCGTTAGCCATCTACACTGCAAAATAAAGCATTGTAATATCGGCAGGGTTAATATTACATTAGGTTAATGGAAGTGCTAAGACAAGCCCGGGAGTTACTGGGATCTATTAACTCAGAATTTCAAATATCCTTTTCTCAAAGCATTACCATTAAAAATTACTGCATATTAGTCACAGCTTTGTAAAAATTGAGAAAGGTAATCACATGTTAATACGTTAATCATAGCAAGCACAAATGAGTTTTGTTACTGAAATAGCTTTGCTGTCTTCATACTTGGGAAGAGCTGGAAAAATTGGTGAGCCCACAGGAATTTGTGATACCAAATTGCTTAGTAAAACCAAGAGCAGCCTGTAAGAACTAGAAGAAAACTAAGAAAGTGACTATATTTGCAAGTAAAATTTGTTCAGTTGCAAATTAAATTTAGTGCTTAAAATTGCAAGATAGTGCAAAAGGGAAATTTTATTCCTCAGAAAACAGCTGGTATGTTCTAAAACAAGGATGGCTACTTTGGAAATACACCAAGCAGAAGTTCTCCCTGAGCTGCCTTGCAACGCTGGAGAAATACGTTGAAAACTAAATAAATAAATTGCATTAAAATACATACAAAATGAGATTAGGAGTATTATTAAGTCTATTATAATATCCTTTTTGTGATGCATGGAGAAGTCCTTGCCCCAAATACATGTTCAGGTTTGGACCATTCTGGAGTTACTCCCGTTTCAGGTGGCTGCCCCATGGCACTGCACATGTGTAGACTGTCCCCAGTGCTGTGGCAGCCGTGGGAGGCTCAAGGGTGACCCAAGTTTGGAGCAGAGCTGTCTGTGTGTCTGTGCTGGCACAGCTCCGGGTCTCCGGGGGCTTCGGCTCAGCTGAAGCAGCGGAGGTAATGCCTGGGCTGTGTCAAATCTGCCACGACAGAATGGCTCTTCAGAAATGTTTTGACCAAAGTTGAGCTAAAAGTGTTTATTCATGCCACGTTTTGTGCTGTGAGGCTTTGAGCCTGGTGCCTGGAAATAGAAAGACTTGCCATGGCAGGAAAGCAGGGGTCCAGGGTCCCTCCCTATGCAGGCACTGGGGAGGAGGTGGTCCTCTGCTAGGCATTCCACAGTATTTTAATTAGACCCCAATTAGCTTTTCCTCCCTGAGCTGGGAAGGCTTAAAAGTCTAGCCAGAGAAGCCAGATTTCTAAAATGGATGAAAATACTTAGGGAAAGGACTTCTGTGTGCTAGGAGACTAAAAGATGACCTTGTTTATCAAAGAGATGGGAGGGAGGTGGAGGAGCAACAAAACAGATGAGTTCAAAACGAGAACTCATACAGATAATGTAAAAATCTTACTTTCCTTTTTCAGCAAATGCCAGGGAAATGATACACAAAGACAATGCATTTTAAATTATTTTAAAATTAACATTTATTTCTTTGGTGCTATCAGATGTGACACCTAGCGACATTAGATAATTTTGAGGCAGAGTAAAATAACTTGTATGTGGGTAATGGGAAAAGTAACATTTGTGCTTTTTCCCGCCTTAGTATACTTTCCTTCCTTAGTATTTTGCTTACAGGATTTTTTTTTTTACTATAATTTTATTTTCCATAATTGGTTCTTAGGAACTCACCTTCTCACAGATGAAGGCCAGGAAGAAAATTCTCATGTGAAGAATTGGTTCCATAATTGTTAGACGGTTGGATTTTCTTCTGTGGTGTCTTGCTGTGAGCACTGTCAGTGATGAAGCACCAGACAGTATCCAGATCCCTATAGGAGCTTTTATGTAATGCTGTGTATTTCCATTATTTTCCCCTTTTTTTCCCACAATTAGCTATGGCTAATAAATGCATTTGTGACTCTGGTCTCACTGCAGTTCACTTTGTATCTGTCCCTGGCTGGACTTGTGCTCATAATCTTATAATGTGCTTAAAGACTAATTTGGAGTGTCACATAATGTAAAGGTAGCTTTTTATTTGTCTGTGTTGTGACTGCTGTTTATGTAATTGATGTTTGTAAAAGACTTTCATGGTTCCTTCAGGTTTCTAAGGGCAGCACAAAGTTCTGATTCTAAGTTGAAAATCCTTTGATTAGCTTTGCAGTAATTTCTGTCCCTGTGTCAGCTTTCATCCAGAAGCTGACGTCTCACTGAATGCTTGAGCTGATAGTTTTTAGATTCCTGGATCCGGTGGCTCGTTGGAGGCCGCATAAGTAGAAGATACTTGTATCCTACTCTGAAGAGAACTTAATGAACTTCACAATCAGCTGAAGCTGTATTTGAGGTGTTTTGATGAGGATGTTTTGGTTGAAGTAAAACCAGAAAAAATGCAGCTTGTTTTGGAGCCTAAGTCATTTTGTGTTTGACTCAAAACATACACTTTTATCATTTCTATATACCCAGAAGTGTTACTAGTCATATTTATAGCTGTGTTGATTTGGCACAGACTGGTTTTTGGTAGTGGGGGAGGGCCACTGAAGTGGCTTCTGTGAGAAGCTGCTAGAAGCTATGTCTGAGAGTCAACCTCTGATGGCTCTGAAGACGGACATGCTGCTGGCCCAATTAGAGGGGTTGGTAATGCCTCTGTGATGACATATTTAAGAAGAAAATCAAAACAGGGATGGGTAGTTTTTTCCCAGGAGTGGTGAAGTCTGCTGCTGGGGCCATCTCAGGGTGGCCTGCAGCGAGCCCTGCCTGCCTGGTCACCCCTGTGAGCCAGCTGTGCTGCAGACAGAAGGGCACAAAGGGAGGCGTTAAATGGCGCCAGCGCTGTGGCAGGTGGCAGGGCTGCCTGTCTGGCAGTGACAACATAGTGAGGAACTCTCTGGCACAGAACCTGGGTGAGATTGACCTCTCAGCGCTGCAGGATCCTGCAGGAATCTTTCAACTGGTGGAACTTGTTGACAGTGGTACCTACGGGCAGCAGTTCTTCTAGTCAGAGAAGACGAGGAAGTGAGGACATGTGAGGGAAAACAACATGGCAGCACCAAAGTCGGTGGGAAAAGAAGGGCAGGAGGTGCTCCAAGCACCAGAGCTGAGATTCCTCTGCAGGCCATGGTGAAGACCATGGTGACACATGCTGTCCCCCTGCATCCCATGAGGTCCATGGAGGATGCAGAAATCCACTCAGCCCATGAGAAAAGCACTCACACCGGAGTGGGTGGGTGCCAGAGAAAGTTGTGATCCAGTGGGAGACTCGAATGGAGAGAGAGGGCCCCTCCTTCCAGAGATAGAGGGCTCTTGCTTCCAAACTATAACAGCCTATCCTTAGAGGACTGCACCCTGTCGATGCGTGACCCATGCCACAACAGTTTCAAAAAGACTCTTTGTCTGTGGGAGGGACTCACATTGCAACAGTTTTGGGAAGACTGCTGTTTATGAGATTGAAGCCATGAGATGTTCATGGAGAACTGTCTTCCATGGTGATGGCTTAAGTTTTAGCTTTCATATTTTCCAGATTCTATACTGCCTTCGTATAACTCTGAACTTATATAATGTGTTAGCAAGTTCTCTTTACAGTTTATTTGGACAAAACAATACTTTTCCAGCCCGAGAACCAAGGACACTGTTGCAGCTTCAGGCCTAAAAAGTATAAACAACAGCAAATTGCGGAGAGCAATCTAGGAGGATGGGACTTCATAACTCGAAGCTGTAATTGGACAATTAACCCCAATATGTAAATGGACCAAAACTTACAAAAGTGTGAAAACGTGTGATCCATCATCGACCTTGGGTGTAGCCTTGGCTGGGCTCTTGTACTGCCCAAGGTGTATCCTTTGAAGGCCTTTTTAATAAATACCTCCTTTATTCCTTTAACACTGTCTAGCTTCTGTTCTGGGTAGTCTCTCAAGGCATCAGCAAGAGGGACCCAATGGCATAGCAGAGGAAAGACTTCTCTCCCTGAGTGAACAGAAAAAGGTCTCTGGTGACAAACTGACAAAAACCCCCAGGCCCTGTCTCCCTACGCTGTCGGTGAGAAGGAGGGAGGGATGGGGGAGAAAAAAAGATAGTTTAAAGGCTTATTTTGCTTCTCATTATCCTCCTCTGATTTTG